GCTGCCGCAGTAAGTTGGTTCCGATTGATCGACATGCTCGGGACTTCCCCAGTCCTTATTTACAATCTCACAATACCATGAGAATGAAGTTATATAATTAAAAAAAATTATTGTACTATTGAATATTGGTCCAATTTGATTAATGATGTACATTGGTTCAGGGCTTTTCTCTAAGTTTGAAGTACTATCCCAAGGAACATATTCATCTAATAGTTTAAAGAAGGTTCGGTTGATCAAGTTGGATTGACATTTACCATGTTCTTTAATTATAATCTGTTGTATTTCATCTATACTATCCATCTTAAATTTCTAACAAAATTTACAAAACATTCATGAGAATAACTTCAATCAAATATAAAATAATATAAAATTTAACAAACCCTCTTATTATCTGCAACAAATTGTTTAATTTCCTCTGTGATTCCAATAAATTCAAATTTAGACATCATATGAGATTTCAATTCACTAAATTCATGATCTGTCAAGAGATCTTGATTTTTGTTTTGTCCCTCAAAATAAAAAACAGATGAAATATTCAGCAAACTTTGTACAGTGAACCCTCCCTAAGTGCACCCTCCCTAAATGTATGCACTATGTATACCCTCATAAATGCACACTCACAAGAAATAGCACTATGTTCCCAAGGGGGTGCACTTATAGAGGGTTCACTGTATATTTTCTTTTGTAGGATAATTCACTCCATTGCAATTTTTGGTCTATTTATATGTTTTTGTGGTAATTTATTAGACTACTCAATCAATGCACCATTTGGCCTCAAAACAAATGCTAATCTGATTGTCAAGTTGTTTATGGACATGCATACACATGCAAAATTGTGTAGTCTATTTTATGAAAAATTACATCATTGTGCAAAAGGATGCTTGGGTGTTCCGCATCCAACTATTCAAAAGAATAATTCATCTTTTCATTACTGCCAAATTTAGAAATGATTATCACAGGCTAGTCTAAATTTAGTAACAATATTAGCGGCATTTCATTGTGAACATTGTAAACTTGTGCAACTTTGAGCCATCTAACTGCGCAATGCTATGACATATCAACAAAATGAAATCGTAACTTTGTAGAGAAAGGACTTAGCTTCAAAATTACAGCTTATTTTTTTGGTGTTACATTTCCATTTTTAGAGTTAGAGAAGGATCTACAAGGCAAATAAAAAGTTGTAGGACTAGGTGTCTCGCACTATAGAACTGTTATTTTGTAGTTTGAGTTCTAAAGAATGATTGGTTGAAATTTTATGTCTTTTCTATTAGTAAAGAGTTTGTTACTGACGAACAAATATGGCTGTATTATAAAATCTATATTTAATGAAGATAAGAAGGAAAAAAGAAAAAATAATTATCTGGTTGCAGTATGTAATAATTTTTGTTAAATAATTAATT